GTGACTCATGAAAACAGCTCTCACAGCCACAACTTTTACACCTTAAAACATCACAGAAGTATTTACACCAGACAAACCAGACCTGCGTCACATCAAATAAGGTCCTCTCAATAAAACTGTGAAGACCAGCTAAGGGTGAGCAGAGGCGTGATGTTGGACTGATTTGTAAAGCTGTGGCAGTTTAATCATTAGAGATAGTGTTGTCATTTGTTATTAAAGAGAAGTCTGCAGTTTTTCACATGTTTGATTTTATAATTAACAGCATTTCAGTTAGAAATTATTTAATCACAAACCCTGTTGTTCTTTAATGCATTGTTATTGATAAGGACGACAGATGGCTGACATATTTAAAAAAAAATCTGACGGTCTTAATTGTATCAAAAGACAAGAGCCGAAGAATAATAAAGACATAAATTAACCTCTTGGTTCAAACTGTGCATTTTTCCCCATTTATCTGTTTATCTTTCATTTAAAAGTAAAGGTAAAACCAAAAATGTCATTTAATCTGGGGGCATCTGAATTATAAAAGGTACTGAAAAGTATTTTTTTAACCTTTTAAAATTTTGACAAGTTATCATAAATATCAGACATATCTTTGGGTTTATTTTCTTTTGGAATTTAATGTGACAGAGCAGTATGAATTACTATATATTTTTTAATTAAAACAAAATAATTAAGTATGGTTTTAAAATATCGATTTAATTAAAAATATCTAAAAAGGTGCTTTGCATGTTTGTATTCATACAAACATGCTGAATATAAATCCAGGGCCACAATATTCAATGAGTCCCTTTGTGACTGATTAACTTTGAATGTAAGTATTATTTCTTAACTTTATTTTTAGTTTTTGAGCAAGGACAAACACAAACAAGTAAAGGCTAGAGCACACATACAATATATGGAACAATGTATTTTACACTGCATTATTGTTCTGAATCACAAAAATACAAATAAATAACACATTTAACCCATGAGCCACGCATACACCTAGCAGACACAAGAGGCATATATATTTTTAAGCTCGCAAAAGCATTTTGTTATTAATCTTTGTGTAAATGTTTCATTTTTCCCAAACTCTTTCTACTTTCCCCTCCTGGAGACGTAGGGAAAAAGTTAATATTTCCATTTCATGGATCCAGTTTATAATGCTTATCAAAACCTGAAGGTAGGGTGGCTTGAAAGGAGAACTTTGAATGTAAACATGATTTCAACCCTCCCTCCATCCTTCCCTGTCGTTTCCTTGGGCCAGACACTTTACCTTCATTATAAATATGTTGGTGATCAGAGGATCCGGGTGGCACTGATTGTATGGCAATCTTATTTTCTCTCAATCTGCTGCATAGTTTCTGTCCCAACAATGTAATTTACTGCCATTAAGGTGTAAAGGACACTGCAGTATACTCTTCTTTATTTTCCCCATACACAGAAATTTTAATTATCTTGCTACTGATATATGAGTAAACTTGCCTTGGCCTTGTGCATGTCTAAAACATTTTTATGGCTCTCCTTTGAGGAAACGTACATCAGACTCACAGTCATGGTAATAACTTCTGTAACTGTTTCCATCCTGATGTCCATAGTTGCTGCAATGAGCCATATGACTGCCCATAATCCTTTCCCTGACAGCTTATATAGGCACTGGCCACCTCATGGAGTATAACAGAAATATATTATTTCATTTTGTGACATCTGCTTAGACTGAAACATGTATATGTGCGTTCTATATGTTTGAGGTTTTATAATAAAGAGTTTGAGCTGTTCAGTACATTTTTATAACTACTTTTCCCAGAAGGCTGTGGTACCAATTTGACCAGCATCATTCTTGTGTTTGTCCACTAGGTAATGAAGTCTGTGAGCACAACAGTTCCTTTCCTCCCCTGAATAGTGTTTATGAGCACAGAAATGTTGAAGGAACAAAATAATCTAGGTGTGCAGTTTTCAGCATTTGGATAGAGCCTTAGTTTAATAGGCAGTTGTCTCTGTCCATGGTGCTGAAATAAAGGCTTTCTCGGTACAGTCACAGTCCATGACAAACCACTCGCTTTTGTTTTCTTTTCAGTTTTATTTCCCTTTTACAGTTTTCAACTATGGGCAAAAGATTTGTTGGCCAACTTTACCACTGCTGATCGTGCATGACCTAATTTTGATTAAATAAACTGGACATTTTAAAACATTTCTCCAAACCAATAGCCTTTTGAAGGTATTCTGACAACAAATACACCATATTATACACCTTAATATCTTAAGGTTAAAGCCAATGTAATACAGCTGTATTTTGGAGCAAATAATGGTCATCAAAATAAATGTAGGATATATACCCGGTATGTTCACAGATTTGAGTGTTTGAGTTTTTTTTTATTTAATCAAGAGAGGAATCCAGTATATTATATTGACATTAGTATATTTTAATCTATTTCTTTTAACAATGAGCTCTGATGCGGTTGTATTGTAAAACTAAATACAAAACCAGGGGTATCTTCTTTAATGTGATATCCTACAACTGCCTCCAGAGAAGAGTTAAAAAAAATATTCCACTCGTATATCCAAATGTGTTGTCATCCTCTGTGTGTCTCCATGGAAGAGGTCAGAGCGTTTGACCTTTGAGTGAACAAGATCAGCAGAAGCTCAGAAAGGTTTTGCTGATTATGAAATAAATAATGTGAAGAGTTTCATTCACAGCTTCAATAGGTGTCAAGCATTGTTTTATTGTTGCGTAAGTGGATCACTTTTCATTTCTGATTTCAGATAATGATTTCAGATAATAAAGTAACAAATCTTGGTGTTGTTTTTTTCTAGGACCTGTCATTTAAATCCCATATCAAAGAGGTTTCTTGAATTTCCTTCTTTCATCTGAGGAATATTGCAAAAATTAGAAATATCCTGTCCAGGGGTGATGCTGAGAAACTAGTCCATGCATTTGTTACTTCAAGGCTGGACTATTGTAATTCTTTACTATCAGGAAGTCCACAAACTGTAGCTAAAAGCCTTCAGCTGATCCAAAATGCTGCAGCCAGAGTTCTGATGAAAATTAAAAAGAGAGATCATATCTCTCCTGTCCTGGCTTCTCTTCATTGGCTTCCTGTTAAATCCAGAATAGAGTTAAAGAAGTTATAGAAGTTAAGTTATAGAAGTTAAAATCCTCCTTCTGACCTATAAAGCCTTAAATGGCCAAGCTCCATCTTATATCAGAGATCTGATTGTTCCTTATGTTCCTAACAGAGCACTTCGCTCTCAATCTGCAGGTTTACTAGTGGTTCCTAGAATTTCTAAAAGTAGAATGGGAGGCAGATATTTTAGTTATCAGGCTCCTCTCCTGTGGAACCAACTACCAGTTTTAGTCCGTGAGGCAGACACCCTGTCTACTTTTAAGGCTAGGCTTAAAACTTTCCTTTTTGATAAAGCTTAAAGTTAGGGTGGCTCAGGTTATCCTGAGCTATCTCTATAGTTATGCTGCTATAGGCTTAGACTTTTGGAGGACATAGGGACCCCCATTTCATCATTCTGCTTCATTCTCTCTCTATTCTCCTATTCTGCAGAATCTGTTAGTTAAATCTCTAACGTTCTGCTCTCTCTGCTTTTCCTCAGAGTAGCTTTGCCTCGTCTGTTCCTGTTTGGCAGTGACGCCATCCTGGAAAGAAACATCAGCTGTGCTGCTTCCATCAACACCCTATAGATACTGGAGAACGGCTTGTTTTCCAGTGTGGTCCTGTTTCTCTGACCATGACTGAGTGGATGTGCTCTCTTCGTCCTCTGGCATGCTCGTCTGCCTGGCTGTGTGTTTCCTGGACGGGGCCGCCTTTTACAGCTGCTTTTTGTGTCTCTGCTTCTGTCTCATTGAACCCCAGTCAACCTCGGCAGATGGCCGCTCACACTGAGCCTGGTTCTGCTGGAGGTTTCTTCCTGTTAAAATTGAGTTTTTCCTCTCCACTGTCGCTACAAGCATGCTTAGTGTGGGGGATTGTATTTGAGTCAATGAGTCAATGCAATCAACTGGTTTTCCTTAGATAGAAAACTTTGTATCAATTTGACTGTATGATCTGGTTGAACTGTAAAGTGCCTTGGGATAACATGTGTTGTGAATTTGGCGCTATATAAATAAACTGAATTGAATTGAATTAATTGGAAAATGTATGAACTTAGCCTCAGTTGGAAAAGTGAATGTAAATCATTGTACCCCCTCATCAAACAGTAAGACAAAACAACCCAGCCTTGAAAAATAAACCAACATCTTTTATTTAGTCAGTTGTGTCCACATCACTATATATGTTGAAGGCAGTTCTATGCACAATGAAAACCTCGTTGCTCTAAATGTTGAATACTATAAAGTGATTAAATGCATCTATACCCTTTCAAAGTCTCCTCCTTTAATCTTCTAGTCTCCTTTTTTATAATCTAAAGATCACACAGTTACCCTCTGAAAACACTCAGCAATTAAACCAGAAAATGCATCAACAGAAATGAATAGAACAAATGACTTATGGCTATGATTTTTATAATTTTGCATATAAAAACAACAAAACTGCACTTTTTTCTTGGATCGTAAACATTCTTATTTTTAATGTTTTTCTAAAACAATTTGGAAAATGCTTTTTCTTTAAAATCTCAGACAGAATTAGTCTTTGAGCTGCCAATTAAAATATTTAATCAATGTAACCACTAATTTTGATAGTGGAGTTTGTTTAACAGGTCAAATACAAACCATATAGGTAAACATGTTACATGAATATGAAAAATGCACCAAATTAACCACATTTTTAACCAAATGTGTAGCTAAGGTTTTTTAAAATAAAGATTATAGTTACAATAGTTTCAGTCACTAAAAGTTAAGGTTCAAAATTCTTATACCACCAACAATTTACTTTCAAAGTTAATTTAATATGCATTTCATACTATTGTTGTATATGCAACACACTTCTGTTTTAAAGTTTCTGTATGTCATGCTGCTAACCATCAGTGGGAATAAATCTGGAGAACTGTATATACATCTCCAGTGAATTCTCTTTCTTTTTTTTTACATTTTAAGAGAACCAGGAAGCACAGCAAGTTCATGATAAAGGCAAAATGTGTGCTTTTCATATTTTTTCTTTTTCAAAATAGAAATGAAAGATCATGGGACTTTCTGTCCTGCTTAACATCAGGACATAGTAATCGAATGCCTCCAAATTCCACTTACTTTTAACTTTGCAGTTTGGGAATCCTCTCTGAAAAAAAGGATGTTGTGTGCATTAAAACAAAAACAAAAAAAACATAAATAAAAAAAACTTTTACTTTAATGTTGATGGTACAAACTTCTCAGAAGCTTTAGGGAAAAAAATATTTTGATGTTACTTGAAGATTGAAACCTAAAAACAAAGGTAGAATATATCCCTTCCATCAAACTTCCATTTCACACTGTAGCAACTTCTTACCAACCAAAAGACACACCAGTTGCTCAGTGTAGTATGCAGTCTATTACCATTGCCTGAATACATACTGTGTATATACAGTTTAAACACATACTGTGTAGATGGATAAATAAACAGCCACATCGAAAAATACGTCATTGTTAATTATTCCCGCTCTCAATGTCCTTTGCATTAAATACTATGTGTGTGCATTTTTTTAAACTGCATTTATTTTATTTTTTGTATGTAGCATTTTATAGGATGAGTTGAGGTATTCATCGGAGCGCGGACCCCTCCTCAAAGTGGCTGTAAATGAGAATAAGGAAAAGGTTAGTGATTCAACAAAAAAAAGAATCAATAATTCTGTCCTAATACGAAATAGTCCCTGAATTTTCTAAGATTAAGCAAAGCAAGGCTATAATTTCCACAGGGATTTACATTTAAAATGTTCTGCAGATTATGCTACATGTTATGAGGCAACCTAGAATTAAGAGAATTGGTAATACTAGGAAGCCTTTTTCAATGCAGAAGACAATAACACTCTCCCCTGACTGTTAATTTACATTAAATTGGCTAATTTAAGGATGTTAAAGACGAACAGGTAAACTTTTGATATAACACCAAAAGTTCTTGTAAAAAACATAAGAAAAAAATCGCTCAAAAATTTTGGTATTGTTTGAATTGTTGCCAAAAAAGAAAGGAAGAACGTCTTATTAATATTCTCGGAATAATTTTGCACTACAGCTATATGAAAAAAATATATAAAGCAATCTTGATGCTTAATGTGAGAAAAAAGCAAAGTGGATAGAAAGCATGAAGGTGCCCACCAGCTGAAAGTTGTTAAGGAGATGGTCTACATTGATGTCATCATAGCTCTCCTGGAAAGTGTTTGGTTCTTCTCTGGACTCCTCTGGTTCGGTGGTTCCAGGATCTTCTAGGCTGTTTGCGTAAGGATGGAAAGTCATTATATTATGATGTTAAGCTTACAGTCTAGACACTGTCGTAAAGAATTGTCTTAGATATGCAAACATGCAAGACAAATATGAATCCATGTTTAAAAAAATCATATTTATTACTTTCATTGCATATTCTATAGCACTGAACTGTGCACAAACAAGTTTATATTAAGTTTCTCTACCAGTGCTTGAGTATTATAAAAGGTTTTGGGGTTTCTACCTTCTTTTCCCCGTTAGGACAGAGTTTAGGTACTTCTTGACCGCCATCTGTTTCCGGAAGCGGCTGTAGTTGTCTGTGAAGATGGCATCTGAGTGGCGCTTCACCGGCTCCTCCATCAGGTCATCGCTGAACAGAAGAATAACAGCAAAATTTAAATAGCAGCAGATTTCTGTGCACAGTTAAAGACTATGGTTTATTCTCATGTTCATCTGTCTGAGTTCACCCTTGCTGTATTGGAAGCTTGAAAACGAAAGCTGGAACGGCATAAATTAACCTTTAAAAATGTTTAACCAATTACAAAATGCATCATTGAGCAGGTCAGATCTTTTCATCCCAAATGTCATTTGGTCCTCTTGTGTTGGATTGGACAATCCTTAGTGAAATTAAATTATCGTTGTCGTTTTAAACACAATAAGACAAAAAACAATAACAAAATCATTTTTCCTTGCACCGTTATTCTCGCCAATTAATGCAATTCCACTTTCTAATTGGGATCAGAAAACTTCAAAAGGACTATTAAACATCAACATGTTTTATATTTTCAAAATAAGAGCATCGTTGGCTGTTTTAAATGTCAAATTTAATATTTTGCCCAGAGATAAAATCCTTATTTTAGAGTTACTTGCAGCTGGTCATGTAAGCATTATGTTTGCATGTTTCTGCGTAAAGATAAAGATAGAAGAACTATCATACAGTATAAAGTGAATGTTGCATAGTAATTAGTTCTTGAACTAATCCTGATCCTGATCTTATTTTTCAGATTGATAAAGAAAACAGATGCTGTGTTTTGGAAAAGTAGGAGATTTTTTAATATTTAAACCCTATGACTGAGCTGCATTCTTGAATATTTTGCTTTACTTTCTTTAACTATTAAATCCATTGTAAAATAATCTGGAATATTTTGGGGATTTTTTCCCCCATTTAAATTAAAAAAGCATTTCGTCTTTTTATATAACACAGTATATATTTTTGTCCAAAATCTAATTCCTATAGCTTCTTGGATTTATATACTAGACTTCTGAATATATATCAACAATATATTCTGAATCTATATAAATAAATCTAATCGAAAGAAACATTTCATTGTCTCTGTTTCAGACCATCAGATTAAGATTAATTACATTACATTTAATGAAATTTCACTCCAAGCGTCGAGCTCCCGTCAAAGCTTGAAGCTACCAGTTTTCCCTTTTAAAAAATTGGCACGCTTGCCTCGTTCTGGAAGGCATCGCCCCATAGCACAAACACCCACCTGACCCGCTTCCCGATCAGAGACTCCAGGTACCTCCGCGCTGACAGCTGTCCCAGGAGTTTGCTGTATCCGCTGGTGAACAAACCATCTGCATGCCTCGTCGGTCTGCAAAGAATCACAGAGCGGTCACATTATAAGATACTTAGACTGGCTCCATCGGAACATCTGGTTCAGAAAACAGACTCGCGTCAGCCTGCCGCATCAAGTTTGATTTGGCGCTCCTTGAAAATGTGCAAAACATTAACCAAACACATGTAATCTCCCATTTTATATATGTAAATAAAACAAACAAAACCCAAAAAAAGAAGGAAAAAAAAACGAGAAAAAAAAAAAAAAACAACTCCCCACAAAATCTGCTTTTTGCAGTTTGAGTTTTTCTGAGTTCATATGCGTAAAATCTCTCCTGGAACAGAGCGCAACTGCTATATACTGGTAAAGCATATATACCTCGAACTCAAAGCTATTTCTGACATTCTGAATTGAAAAAGCTTCCTGGATGGGAACCGAAACGTCTTCAAACTTGGATACAAAGTCCAGTGGATTGTAATTTTCTTTTTTCGGAGCGCAACTGCTACTTGAAAACTTGGATATTTGGTGTCTGATATGACTGTAAGCCTAATAATTATGAATCACATATTTATACTTGCGTGTCTCTTCATGCATAGCCTACTTAACTCTAATATTGAATGTTTGAACTCACCTCATTGATGTGTAAGGTAGGCTCAGAGTCCGGGAGTATAACACACTGCACAGGGCTATTAGGAGAAGCAGGTGAGGGCCGGTCCGTTGAACCATCGCTTTACACCTGAGAATGATAATGGAGTCATTTATAAGTTTTTAAGTTTTTCCTTCTCTAAAAAAAAAAGATGTTCAATTCCAATAAAAGGTGTAAAAAAAAAGAAAAATATAAAACAAGAAGAGTTTTGACTAATCAAAACAGTTAAACCAACAGAAGCTTTAAATTCGCTCACTTTATGTTAATTTGTACTGATGTTACATAAACGCATCTTAAGCGTAATTGCGCACGGTACTGTGAAAGCATAAATGGACGGTTATATGTGAAGAATCAATTTCCATGTAAGCTTTTGATTAAAATTCCAGACTTTGACCTAAAAATGTGCTGAGAAACCGTGTGCATACTTAGATTTCTTTGTTTTCTTTTGTTTGTTTGGCTTTTTGGGGCGTAATGATATAGTTCTGAATTTATCAAAATATAAGATTTCTAGCGTAGATTAAACTGTTTGATAGGTTGAGTTATTGTTTACTAATACACTTTAGAGATAATTAATTCGGACAAAAAACAACAATAATAATCCTAGATTTAGCGCGCATTTACGCACGGCAAGAACAACAGCGAGCCAATTTGACAAGAAAGCGGAGAAATGTCACACTTCGTCCTGGATATATAGGCTAGTGTGTCCTTAATCCATTAAGAACATTTCAAATACAGTGAAACCCAACAAGTTATATTAGAAGTATTCTCCAAATTCTCACTTGAGCAAAAGCAGAAAGTGATACAGTTTTTCTAGACATAAAAATTCTTACATTTGTTCTGCAGAAAGTTGTTTTCTTCGGGTCTTCAGCTCCTGATCCTTAACAGCTGTTTGTAGAACCACCTCTGCTGATCCAGGCTGCCTCTATCTGTCTGTTCTTGCTCGCCTTCAGTTCTGCTCCCGTTTTATACACCTGGATGATTCTCGCTTGCAGGAGGGGGGGACATGAGCTTCATCTGCAGCTGGAGACGTCAGAGGGTCAGTGCTTCCGTCATTGGACTGGCTCACGGTCGGAACCAAAGAGGCCATGTGGAGAGATTAGTCGGAAGTTTTACTCTGTGTTTTCCAATTAGTTGTCAGGATAAATTAATGTGTTTTATAGGTTTAAATCAGAATGAATCCACCCTTAATTTAAAGAAGCTGTGACTTAAAGTAAAACTTGGAGCAGGGCAGGAGAGGGAGATAGGAAGAAGAGAAGCCAATGTCAAAGTATCTCCAAATCAGCAACTTTACATTTTCATGTAAAATAAGGTATCGGATGGAGTTATGTATTCCATATATGATCAGGCGACATATTTGCATTTGAAACTGTCACTCTCTGTTGCATTGTCTCTATGCCTGCTCACAAGCCATGCAGTATTATATTCTCTGTATTTTTTACTTTCACCTGCTGTATTATAAGTCTTCACCTTTGGCATATAGATTGTCATCGTACAATTTGTCTGCTCTCGGTAAATTGTTCTTGACTTAAGCAATTAGAAACATGAAGAGATCAGAAAACATAATAAAATATGTATATTATATAATATACTATAATAAATAAACATGAAAAGCATGAGGCAGAAAACTGTGTTGTAGTCTAGTGGTTTAAACTCGTCTTTCTCCGGCGTGTCTCCTAGAGTGGAGGAAATTATTTTGCATGGATAATTTGTTTCTACAGAACAATTTCTGACTATAGTAGCTAAGGCTGCACGATATCTAAAAATCATGCATTCAACTGACAATATCAGTAGTAATTAAGTTAGATTTTCCAACATCCTACCTCTCATGTGTGCTGCTGTGTCTCTTTGGCCTTTAGGATGATGGGCATTATAACCAGTGTCATATATTTGCTTCTACTACAGTTTGAATTCCATCAACAACATGATGATCTTATTGTGAGGGAAGGTTTGAACTCAGGACCCTTGGAATATACTTTCCCAGGATTTGTGAAGTCATAACAAACCCTCATCTTCATACCATGCAAAAATATTGCAATGCCTGTATACTTTTTTCCATGACGCCATCTATGGGCTCATCTTCAGGACAACAATTTAATTCAGCCCTCTTTAAAACCATGTCCATGAGCTAAATTAATAGTGTTGAATTCCTGATGGTGGCATGTTAAAACAATCAAGGAGAGACAATGACTTTTCTTTCCCTGGAAAATGCTAGGCACACAAAAAGCCTTCTCAGTTTCCCTTGCTCCTTTCTGCAGGAGTCTCTTTTCTGCCATGAATCAAGCACATTTGTGCTCAGGTCCTTCTCTCTGTTAATCAGTGAGTGTGTCTTTTATTTATCAGCATATGGCTTTAGACCTTAAGATGGTGTTGGACATGTTTCTTCCATTAACTGAGATCAGGAAGTGTATACTGGTTTCAGAAGGCTCAGAACATTGGATCCAGAATACAAACAGACAGGCCAGGGTTAATTCACAAGCAAGCATTTATTCTCTGCTCAGCGCACAGTGGCTCAACAGCTGTGGAAAGTTCACTGGATCCTCTGGTTAAGAGTTCAGTCTGAGCCCAGAGGAAGGATTTGAATCCTGAATGATTGTTTCTCCACAGCATACGGCGGAAGCCGCCACCAGAGTTCCAGGAAAGAAGCAGAAAAGACTGATGAGCAGAAGCCAGTAGACGCGGACGAGCAGAGGAATCCGGAGTGATAATCCAAAGGCAGAAAAGAAGCAGCAGCAGGTTTCCAGGCCAGAAGATCAGAGAGCCAAAAAGGTACTGAAGGAGTATCCAGGGGTCAGGAGACAGGTCCAAGGTCGTTTAGCAGGCAGAAACCAGGAATCTGTCCAAAAAAAAGATAAGGCAAACAGAGTAGAAACACGGGCAAAACAAAACTCAGAAGTCCAAAGGCAGAAAACTTGTCAGGATCAGGAAATCAGAAACATACCGGATTGCTAGAGTTACTCTCACACATATCTCGAGAGTAATGTGGCGTTGATGGCTGGGAAACAGGCAGCTTAAATAGGAAATGGGAACAGGTGGATCTGATAAGTGATGAGGAACAGGGCAGATGTTGACAGGTGAATGAAATGAGCAATCAAGCCAGCCAACAGTGCCAAAATCATAACAAATGTGACAAGTGGCAGGGCTCCCACCAAGGAGGAACAATTTGTTTGCCCATTTACTTGGTGACAACATTTTCAATAAGTTTGGCTATATTAATAACTAATTGTTGCCTCCTCCTTACTCCCCTGTACCTGAACTTCAATCTATTTTTTTCTTTCTACTGTTCTTGCTTCTCAACAATATAAATACTTCATTCAGCAACAATGTCAACAAAATCCTCTAATTCTCTCACCTTCTCTGCTACATCCATTTATTCATAAAGCAAAGTGGGCTCTGTACACACAAATCTTTGAAATTACCAACCCAGATAAATGCAGCTAAGCATTTTACACCCAAAGACACTGTTGCTTTTTTATTTTTTTATTTGAGCTTTTAGGAAAGAAGCAACCAGGCTGGGATTGGAGTGTTTCTGAGTCCACCCACAGTGTTCTCGATGAGCCTGGTTTGTTTTGCAGGAACAGCACAGGGAAACAGCTGTGACGTCAGCTAGCGCCTCATCCGCACGTCCTGCCGTCTCTCCGTCCAACCATCCATCCATCCATCTTTCCATCCATCCAAATGAGTGTGAACCATTTAGCTTAAATCACTGCAGAGGAAAAAATATGACAGATGGTAACATGGGAGATACATGGCGGATAAGAGGGACTTTTTCTCTAGCAAAGTATACATATTATAAATTACAATAAATCTCATAAATAACAGATACAGTTTATTCTCACTATTATCAACTAAAGCAGACTGTATTTAACATTTGTCAAATAAATTAGCACCTGTGGTAAAAATGTATAAATGAATGAATGAACCTGCTATTGCAGCATAACCTCAGAATGCAAGATTAAGTCAAATGAGACAATTTATTTGAGTAAATTTATTCAAAGAGGAAATACTGACACACTGAGAAATAGTTTCTTACAAAATCAAAGCTAGCACAATTAAAATGTATTTATCGTACGCCATTATTTATCTTGCCATCACACATAGATGGTAAGAGAGTTAACCCCCCCAAAAATGATCTAAATCTTACTGTTTGAGGTCAGCAGCAAAGAAACATGTTATGAGAACTTGGTCATTTGAATATGTCAAAGCTATGCCAACTGGTTATATTAGAAGGATGCTGATAGAAAACCTCTCTTGTGATATTACAGCGATTGTATACATTTGGAGTTTGCTGAATATGACTAAGTCACTGTTGGTTGGTCTTGTGTCAAACATAGGATTAAAATCTGAAAAAGCTCTTTAATTATGTTGAAGGATCTAAAGGCATGAACCATGGCTGAATACTTGGCCTTAAACCTCAATATGCCAAGTATTACAAAAATGAAATTTGTAATAATAATTTTGTCGGTTAAAAATGGGTCATCATTGGCTTTTCAATAGGGGAGTGATCCAAAATATGGGGCCAAATCAGCACAGAAAGAAAGAAAATTAACTCTTAACCAAAATTAGATGTAATGTCCTGATGCCGTCTGTCATGTTGGTTTGTAGTTTTCTTGGCCACAAGTAGAATAAAATAGAAGACCAGTGGATTTTAGTGTTTTATTTATAAAAAGCAACAAGAATCTTGAAGCTGAGACTGTAGGAAGTCAGTTGAACGTTCTGGTCTGGTTCGGTAGCATGGGTCTGTAGGGTTTAATTCAGCTGGCATTACAGACTGTACCCCAGAGGTCCAGGAGAATGTAAGTGAGATCCGAGAGGGTTGGTACTTGAAAGAGACATGGTTCTGCAGAGCGGGTAGGCAGATGACGAAGACTAAGAACAGCTCCACATTAAAAGAGATTCACAAGAAGACACATTTCCACAAGTAGGATATTCCTGGTTTAGGTCTTTGGCTGGAATACCATCAGGGGTAATCATCCAAAATTAAGACATAATCCTTTGCTTCCTTATACACATGCTAGTCATCTGAGAAATGTTCTCAGGTAGATAGATAGATAGATAGATAGATAGATAGATAGATAGATAGATAGATAGATAGATAGATAGATAGATAGATAGATAGATAGATAGATAGATAGATAGATAGATAGATAGATAGATAGATAGATAGATAGATAGATAGATAGATAGATAGATAGATAGATAGATTGATTATTTTGTGGGTGGCCAAATGTTTATTTTTTATCGTAATTTACAAATACCCCTTGTTTATATATCCAACAATGTAATTTCCTGTTGTTTTATATTCTCGTTTCATTCTAATTCACCTTGGGGAGCACTTTCCATCTCATAAACTAATAAATTAACTTATAAATTATTTAATGTTATAGATAATATGGGGATTTTAAATGAGACATTGGAATATGATTTAAAAAAGCAAAGGCCCATACTCAAGCAATAGCATTATATCTGCTTGAAGAATTTGATCAGGAAAACATGTTAATCAGTAGAATCTGATGTAGGCTAAATAACATACCGCGGGTAGTCCGGTACAACTCTGCTTGAATTTAAAGCATTGAAAGTGTGAAAAAATAGAATATCTTAGAAATGGCTAACAACTTGCATCATGTGGTTAGCAATGGCTCATAAAGGCATAAAAGGTCCATTATTTTCTATGATAGCAAATAAACAACAATTGCTTACTGGGGGTTTTGTGTTAATGTGAAATAGTGACTTTAGATACACTTTAATCATCCAAAGCTTTGAAGGATGAACTGAAGAAATATAGATAAATAACACCACCCAAAGCCCAAGGATTACAAGGGGATTTTGGTGCCCCCACTTCCCAACGGGGATGAAGCTATAGATTTTTTTAAAGTTATACATTCATCTATGGATTATTTTTTTTCAATTAATGGATTCATCCAAAAAGAGATTCATTTTTATTTTTTATTCAAATTTTGTTTCATCGAATAATTCACATTCAAAAACA